AAAAAAAAATATATATATATATATATATATATATATATATATATTCGTTCGATGGTTTGATTAATTCTTTGTTCTTAATAAATAGAAGTTTCAAAAGTATGGTGTTTTAAGCAAAAGGGAGAATCATATTCTTAAAGCCGAGGGATGAGAATCTTTTTTCTGAAAATTCATAGATCTTGGAGCGTAAGGTTTCAGTCTTTCAGATATTAAACGTCACCGAAAAACATTAAAGAGTAAAAGTGAAGCAAAAACATTGGAAGTCGTAACATCAAACTGAATCTTTCCCACGTTAATGTCTAGCAAAAGTGAAAAACATCAGAAGTTGTAAAATCAAAACTGAATCAAAGTTTGAAAAACCATGGTATACATCAGTGTATAATAAAACTTTCAAGGCAGACCTTACTACTGCAACTACAAAATTCACTTACTTCCATCCTATATACTTTTACTTATGCTGTCTTTTTGATTGTAGAAAAGATTTGTTTTGTGGGTTTGACAGCAAAACAGTGTGGTGATAGACCACTAGCAGGACACTAACATGGAGTCCTCCATTGATTCTTTAATTTTCCTTTCTACCTCTTGATTGCCTTCTTATTTCCAAATAGTTGTTTAATTAAGGTTTAGTGGATTTCATTAGAACTGACTACCAATTTTCAAGGTCTCAAATAAATTAGTAATTGCTATTAAAAAAAAGCACAGAAAAATCAAAGAAAAGGGAATCAAAATGAGGTAATAAAATTTCTACCAATCCCTTCTTTATTACAAGAAGAATGGAGAGTTCACATAACATTCTTGGATTTTTCTTTATAACTAGTAATTGGTACATTGCTTTCATATCGATTAAAAAAAAAAACGAAATATTTCCATAACAAATTACCAGGTAAACAAGCCAAGCAGATCAGCAACCTGAGGCACTTGCATTAAATTTGCCACAGTCAACCCCACAAACAAGAAGAAACCAAGAAGATGCCTGCGAATATATAATTAAATTAAAACCCAAAAAATATTTAAATTATAAAACAATTAAGCCCCAGAAAAATCCATTAAAAAAACTAATCACTACTAATTAACACTATAATTAAGCTCAAAACTGGCCCTCAAAATCAGAAAAAAAATAATTACTTACGTCCAGACATTGAGAGTTTCATTATGCCAACGAAAAACGCTGAAGAGAGCTTTTTTGAGAGGCCATTCTGCTCTGTAGTAACTCAAGATGAACTCATTGTCCTTCATGTACTCTGGCAGCTCCCAAAACGACACTAAATCACATGTTTTCTTACCTTTGCTTTGACTCTCGTCATCTTTCTTCATCTTCTGGATTGCTCCACTACTTTTGCAAGAATCAAGCACTACTGCAGCTTCTTTCTTCTGGGTTTGATCAATATTTTCCCTCCCTTTCCTCTTCAAGACCCTCAACCCACTCATGAAGACTTCAATCTTGAGAGGAGCACTTACAATTCGATCTTAAACATGTTTCTCTTACGGATTTTTTATCTTGAGGGTCTTGTTTGGTTAATATATAAAGGCTTGTCTGTGTCTTTTCTCCTATCTATCTGTGCCTTTGCGTTCTCTCTATGAATCAACACAACTGCACCATCCAACTGCAGCATTTAATTATAGACTCTCTCTCTCTCTCTCTCTCTTTCTCTCTCTCTCTCTCTCTCTCTCTCGTTAGGTGTTCGAATTGCATGCAATGCAGTTTGATTAATCGTACACGTTGTTGGGATACTAATAAATCTGTATAAATGATAGCATATGAAAAATTGGGAGCTCACCAACCTCGTGGCCCTATGTATTTTCATTCAAGTTCTTACATCGATAATAATTTTTTTTTGACTTCATTAGATTTACGTGTTCGAGTAAAATTAGATTTATTTTTAATTAATTTTAAAAGTACATTTCACACTTATTGATTTAAGAGGATTTAAGAAGTTTTCTTAATACTAACTCTAAGATTTGAATATAAAAAATCAAAGAATGAAGTAAATCCTTGATTAAAACTCTCGGATATGATAAATTATAAATCATTTAAAGTAAGACTGATGGGTTCATAATAATAATAAGAAAAAATCTATTAATCTTTCGTTGATTCAACGTTTAATCAGTAACACAAGGAATCTACCTGCTGCCTACTTTCTACTTGAACTAAACCTTCATTTTTAAGGGAAAGGCACGTCTTCAATCATTAATGTAACTGGTGTAAATTGTAATTGATGATATTCAATACATAAAACTAGATAAATTAATATTTGAATTCAATTCCCATTTCAATTTGAAGTCTAAATAATTTCTCGATTTAAAGTTTAAATAATTTTCATACTTTAACTTGGTTTGCTTAAATTTATTTGCCAATATAAAAATTTAAGATTTGAGATGGTAATAACAGTTGTTTTTAAAATATTATTTATTTTTAAATATATTAAAATTATACATATTATGTTTTATAATTAATTTTTAATATAGCATATCAAAATCATTCAAAAGCATTTAAAGAATTATTTGAATTAAAAGAAATTCAAAATTCAAAATTCTTTAATTAATGTTGATGTTTTATGATTTATTATATCATTTTTAAATTAATTTTATTAGGTATGGATATAATCTTTTCGTTCTTTAATTGAAAATTTTCTACGTATCCATGTTTTTTTAAAAAAACATGGATAAACCTATTAGTATTTAACTAAAATTTTGTGTACAGTGCAAACAAAATTATGTCGTTATCAAAAATATCAATCAGTTGATCGAGTCACTTGACATTTTACTACGAGACAAGGCATTTAGGTGGACAGCGTGACATAATAAATGTACAGACGTGTTTTATGGATTCACCCACGTGGATATTATAAAGTTGCAACCTGTGATTTTTAAAATATTTTTAATTAAAAATATATTAAAATGATATTTTTTTATAATATTTTTGTTTTTTATATTAGTATATTAAAATTATAAGAAAATATTCAAAAATATTTTTTTAAATCAAAGATATTTTTTAAAAACAATTACTGCAATATAAAAATACAATATCATAGAAATTAACAAAGGAATTGCAGTGTCCCACATCTACATCGTTTAAAGATAGAATTCCACTTTTTTTTATCTTAATTTTTGAAGGCTGACCTTGATGTCTTTTACATGTTTATATAATTTGGCTGACGAAGACTTAGATTACGTACTGGGTGGATGAACAAAAGTTAATATAAAATTATATATTTTAAATATTTTTTAAAATAAATTAAAATAACATCATTTTTTTAAAATCAAATCATGTCTTATTATATTTTAAATAGATTAATTAAGTCATGCTGGTTTTGTCTAGATAACTCCCACTCATTTTATTATGAAAACTTGGGTTAGATTTCGAGTTAATAGTATAGACTAACGTGTCAAACCATGTCAAATATCATTAAATTTATGGATCATATAACTTTTATATGGGACAGGGCTTTAGTGTTACTTCAGTTGTGGTAATTATGATATTGTTTGAAAACGAGGTTAAAATCATATTTTTTTAAATTTTAAATTATTTTTTATGTTTTTAGATAATTTTGATATATTGATGTTAAAAATAATAATTTTAAAAAAATTATTATAATTTATTTTAAAAAAATTATGTGTGTAATCTTTGTCATTAATATGAACACGTTTTTGATTGTTAATTGTTAGACTTAGGTAAGACCATATTAGGCAACCCATCTCACCGGTATAGATAGCTAGCCCACCTCTGGACTAATACCTGTTCATTTCATTGCCCACAAGGCACTCCAAGCTAATTAACTATAATCAATCACTTTCTTGCCTTAATCCTTGGCTTGTAAAGAAGACAAGTCTCACTTAAGCCTTGTCTAATTCTTTTAATTTTTTAATGAATCACGCGTCTTTAGCCCTCTCAAGTTAATCCGAGAGTTTTCCCATCTTCCTACGCATTATTTTCTTCTCTCTCTCTCTCTCTCGTTTTTTAGCCCACATATTGTAGCAACCTGCGAGTCTTGGGGTTCATGTAGAAACATGTTCTTACTTTTTTTATCGAACATGGTATACTTTATGTCGCACAAATATTCACAGTAAATGTCTTTCTTGCTTAAATTTTAATTTAATTTGGATGGGAGAAGATCATGTTTCTTTAGTTTAGGCGTTTGAGGGTAACTTCGGAAATACAATAGCTTTTATTTACAGATTTTTTAAAAATATATTTATTTTTTAAAAATATTTTAAAATGCTGGAATCTAAAATTAAAAAAAAAAAAAAGTCTAAGATGTCAAACGCCTAGAATTCCGGTTGCGTGAAGGAGATGGAATCTGAAAGGCGTGGTGTGTGGTCGTGGTTAGATTGGCTATTGCCCATCTATTTCATGCGTTTAAGAGGCGCCTTATCCGATGGATGAAAGTGACAGAAGTCGGCTTCACAGTGGTTGCTAAAAGTTTTTTTTTCCCAAAAAAATAATAATATATTTTTATATCTTCATATTATTTTAATATTTTATTAATATTTTAATGTTAAAAATAAATTTTAAAAAATAAAGTTTTTTATTTGTGTTTATTTTTTTATTTTAAAAATATTTTTGAAAAAATCTGAATTTTTTTTATTTTTTATTAAATTTAAATTAATATTTTTAAATCATTTTAAAATACTAATATTCAAAATAACTTTTAAAAAACAAAAAAAATAACTATAATACCACACAAGCTCTAAACACTCTCGAGAAAGCCTGGCCTTGCAAGCAAAACCAAGGGGTAAATACTTCACCGGTGCAAGTTTCCACCTTCCGATGTGGTGGCGATTTAGCAAACGACCCGTTAACTGGGCCCTTCTTCCAGCTTCCGTCATCTGTTGGGTTAACTCACACGGGTGAAATCTCAACTCTTAAACTTATGCGAGAACATTTTACCAACCCGTTAATAGAAGAGTATTAGATTCATACAAGAAGGCTCTAAATTGTTTTTATCCAGATGGCAGCCAAGTGATTTCACCCGTGCCCGTGCATTAATTCAATAAAACCACCCTCACCCACCTATTATTACAAAAATAATTATTATTGCATTCCAGTGCTTGGCCTAACGGTAGAAGTAGCTTGTCTCTTTTCATTGCACCTAGGTTCGAGCCTTAGCATGCACACCTGTTATCCCCGCGGTGTCTTACATGCCTACTAGGTTTGCAGGATATTCAGTGGGCCGTGGGGATTAGTCGAGATACGCGCAAGCTGGCCCGGACACCCCACGTCAATAAAAAAATTATTATTATTATTATTAAAATAACATTGGTTAGGAAGACTTAGCTTTCTAGGGGTGATTTAGACATTTAACTATATATAAAAAAAACATTAAAAAGCAAAACTATCCCCTAGTGCATCAGCTTTAGTGTCTGTTTGTTAAATAACTAGTTATTTTTGCATTTAAAGCAACCATAATAAATATTTAGTTACATTAAAAGTAGAATTTATTTTTGATGCAACCCAAAGCAATTCACGTTTAAAACACAAGTTTTGTCTCAGTAACTCTTAATTGTTTTTCTTTTTTATTGTTAGTGTTTTAAATAAATATCCCTTAGTGCATTAGTGTTTTTTAAATCAAAAAATTATAGATGGTTTAATAAAATAATAAAAAATATTTTATATAAAATATTATTTATTTCATAATATAATAGTAATAATTAAATTTATAATATTTAAATTTAAAACTATATATATATATATATATTACTTATTTTATAATCTCAATTTAAAAAATATTCTTAACCAAATACATTAAACTATTTTTTATTTAACTTTAATTTTAACCAAATATATATAAATATCAAACCAACCTTAACTAAAAGTTTTCATTCTAGGAATGTTGAGGTCATTTTACTTTGCATAACAAAGTTAAAAACTTGATATAGTTATTTTTTAAATTATTTTTTATATAAATATATATTAAAATAATATTTTTTATTTTTTAAAATTTATTTTTCACTCTAGCACATCAAAATAATTTTAAAATATAAAAAAATTAAATTTTAGCAAATCTCTTCATGAGTTGCACTCTAAACAGGAGCAAAATGATAAAAAATACTCTCAAAGCTTATTTAAAACCTACTTGTTTTTGTTTTTTAAAAAATAAATTTTTAAATTTTTTTTCATTTGCTTCAATTTAAAAAAATTTATATTTTAAAATGATTTTAATTTAATAATATTAAAAATAATTTTTTAAAAAATATATTATTTTAACACATTAAAAAATTTTAAAAATAAATACTCAGAAAAAGGTCCAGAGAAGCATAATAAGAAAAATACTATGAATCAAAACTAATGGGTGGGATGGCAGAACAAAATGACAACAGGTCTTATAATAGTTTTTGGTATTGCGATTTTAAGAATAATTTTTTAAAAAAAGAATTATACTTTTTTTAAAACAAGATTTTCCAGCGAAACCTCTGTAAATTAATTAAACGTGATCGGGTGAAAATTCAGTTTCATGTCTACGACTGTTCTCAGCACATTTTGGAGCCTGACTGCTTTTCAAGGCCACGACTTCTTTTGGCACGTCGTGCCTAACAATATAAGCTTGCCTGTCCTTCATCCACGTTAGAGGGTGAGAGCAAGGTTATTAAAAGTTTTTTTAACATGTCATTAAATATATAATATAAATTTGGTTATAAAAAAAAATTTAATTAATCATATATAATAATTTCAGTCAAGTAATAAATAATAATATAATATAATATAAATAAAAATAAAATAAATAATATAAATATTAAAACACCTTAACATATATAATTCAAATAAAAATTTATACATGATTTAAATAACTTAAAAATATAATATAATACAATTATATGCATAAAATTTTATATATTAAAAATTAATAAATAATTTGTTCAAAAATATCAATATATGCATCAACAAAGATATATATTGTAGAAAGTTAAACAAAAAAAAAATGTACATATATATGGATAAATTCCTGATTGAATTAAGTAAAGTTAAATAAATTACTAAAACCTTAATTGAATTAACCCGATTTTATTATGCTAATATTTTATATGATTAAATTAGAAATTCAATTCTAAATTAACCTTTTAATTATATACTGTAAAGTGAAATGTCGGGGAACTTGAATAGGAAGACAATAAATTTTTTAATTTTTGTGAAACTCGTAACTAATTTCAAGTTTGATCAATTTTACCACATTTGATCAACTATAAGAATTTCAAGTTTTTAATATGATTATATATATATATATATATATATATATATATTAACTTGTAAAATTATATAATTTTAATTTTATAGATCAACTTGTGATTTAAAAAACAAGGGGTGAGAGCTCATATTTCAGTCATCATCCTGCGGCACGACAAAATAGTGAGGTTCCAGCCTCCCTTCAGATTTGACAACGCATGTGAACACTTCATGCAAGACTAAGCATTAATACTGGCACATCCACCAACTAATTCACCAAACAGAGGAACCTCTCGATGATTCATATGCATGCTTCGGAAAATCTACTGCTTAATACACAAATATCAGCATTCTCTCTGTATTCATTGTGTTTTGTCCAGCTTTCCAATTCTTTGCTACAGTACCAATGCCAGATGTGTCATTCAATTTTTCCTTACTTAACAAAAGCTCCTTTCACCATCGATTGGAAAAACTGGCTGGATATCTTGACAACAAAAGCAGTAAACAGTATATACAGTTATCCTCCCATTCAAGACTGCACCTTTATGAACGGCACTGGCAGAGAAGTATATGTATTAGCTTTTGAGATAGTAGTATATACTGGCGTCCGCTGGCTCTTGTAGAGACCAGGCCATAGGTTCATTCGACTGTGTTCTTCTATTGAAACTTGGGATATAATAGGAGCAGCATAGGTTTGACTTTACAAGGGAATTAACAAATTGGAAACGACCAAGATGATTTGAGGTGTCACGATGAAAGCCACAAACAAGCTTCTAAAGCATTCAAAATCTTGAGAACGCTTATGAGTTGCTTGCCATGAGAGCAACCAGGCAAAGACTTGTGATAGGAGCCCCACATACCAAAGCTCTTGAACAAGTTTGAACCAAGAAGAATGACACTTTTAACTCTTGAGACATCCTAACTGTTCCAAGGAACTCCTGATAGCAGAGCTTTCTTCGGCTGCTTGAACAACATTTGGGCTCTCTAATGGCATGATGTCTGAGAGAGGGTAGCTTCGGTTCGCATGGAATTGGCTGCTTGCACTGCTACAGGCTCCTTTCAGTATTACACTTTTGTGCAGCCCACCAAGCAATCCTTCATAATCTGTGTCACCACATTCTCCAACAAAAACGACCATACTTGCCAATTCCACTCCCCATCGAACATATAGGTACCTGTAATATAATTTCGAGTCATAAAATTTCAAAAATTATCATGAAGAGGAAAAGAAGATTTTAAGCTCGAAGTTCAATCAGGCACGCAAATCAAGAAAGAAACAAAACCTCAAAGGCATTATAAAAATGGTTATATAAATTCTCAACAGCAGCTCCCAATTTTTGGGCTACATTGCTTTTTCTGAGTGCCAAAGGTTCATTTACCATCCAAATTGCTATATGCAGTTTCCTCATACTTCAAATGAAAATCAATATTATGTAAAACGTATGTTCACAAAAAAACCTACCTGAGGGCTTGGGAACGGGAAGCCAATACTGGAATTACATTTATTCTGGTCCCATTTTGGCAATAAATAGCATGGCAACGGAGAGCCTGAATTCTCAGAACCTTTTGGAGCTCCTTAACTGGTGGAACCTGCAAAAGACATGGATATAACTCAGTGCATGTATATACCATTGTACTGCAATTCTTAATATAAAAATAATCTAGGCCCCTACGAAACAAAGTCCAAAAAAATAAATTCACCCTTAATTCCAAACAGTAAGAAGTCACTGTAGAGAAGAAAAGTACCGATCCTGGCTTTTTCACTGTAAACGCATAACAATAGTCAGATGAAAGTTGTTCGGCTGAAGATACAATCCGTTCCGCATCCTCAGCCTTCTTATCATTAACTGAAGATGACCAGCGAAACAGAGTTTTCCTCAGCCCTTCTCCACCCCAACGGTATTCAATGTGTGAGTGATAATAAAAGTCAATGACAAAGGGACCATCCTCTGGATTGGGAGTTGAATAGTAGAGGTCACTACCACTATTGCAAATAAAAGCATCAAAATCACTGGGGCTAAACCCCCCTGAGGCCAGAAAGGAGCGTATCTCAGATATGGCCAAGGATGTTGACAATATAAACCCTATAGAACCTTCCAACCGTTCCTTTTCAACAGCCTCAAAAATTTTTCTGGTGGCTTCAGCAAGACTGGCAATAGTATCAAAGTCCACTGCAACAACAAAGATTTGTTTCCTCCTCCTCAATGATGGAAACTTACCGGAGCTGCTGTTATGGTCAACAGCCTTTCGTGTGTCCTTTACAACACCCTTGGACCATGCCAATACAGCATTCTCTATTTTACTCTTCTTATCAGCAGCATTTCCTTCAGATCCTAGAGAACTATCATTTCCACTACCTCCGGTCTTTTCCCCATCCAATGAGAACCTTAAATTCAAAGATAAATCCTGTATATCTCTCAAGGAATCACCAGGAGAATCTGTGTCGGAAGTATCAGCTCCATCATCACTTTTTTGCCATTGTGGATGCCTTGGTTTGCAACCAGCTATTTTGGAAAGATAAGCCTTGCAATGCTCTGGCCATGAAAAATGGTGAATGTTCTTCAAACCATTCTGACGGCATTTTGCCCAAAGATGCTTTTCAGCAACAAGCTTTAGAAGAGCAGCAGCAATGGACTGCTGATCATGAGGATCAACAAGGAGACCATTGTCAAGTACCTGAGGAAATGTTTACAATTAATACTGGAAGATTTATGCACACATGCTCATTCACACACAAGCCAAGTGATATATTTGTTTTTCTTTATGAGCATGCATACCCGGTGTATGTCTACTGGGCCTCCATTTTTGGTGGCAACCATAGGCAATCCATGAGCTGCTGCCTGCTCAGCAAAAATACTCAGTCTTAAATAATAAATAATCATCAAGAAAAACACTTCATCAGATAAAGAAGAGGCACCTCAATTAAAGTAAGTCCAAATGGTTCAATGAAAGCCGGATTGATGAAAACACCCTGCACAAAGTTCCAGACAGAGTTTACATAGCTAACAACATATACCAACTTCTATTTGTATTTGGAAACAGAAATTGACGAACAGAGGAACCCAACTATGTCATGCAGCTGAAGTATGATAGATAATGGAAATTACATCTGATAATGGACCAAAATACAGCAACCAAACACCAAGCGAGCATGATAAGATACCCAACCTCACAGGCATACCAGACAAACCACATGAAACTAAGATGCTCGATATTACAGAGATTTAGATTAGCATCGTAAAAGTTTTGTTAATCATATTTGGATGGATAATCAATTATAAATCGTACTACACTAGCTAACAATTATATGTTATTAGGACAGCCCCCATCCAGTTATTTATAATGTCAAACACCAGAGAAAAATTGCACTACTACAACTTAAGTCTCGGCAGCTAAAAAAACATGAAAACTGCAAAACATGGGACACTCATGAAGATGCTTGGTATGCTTTACTTAGATTTAGACTAGCATCATAAAATTTCTGCTAATCATAATTCCATGGTGAGTCAATTATACAGTTGCACTAAACTAGATAACTGTAAGGTGTTGCTAGGAGAGCCATCAGTAAATTATTTACAACATAAAACACCAAAGCATAATTCCATTCTTCTACATGAAATCTCAGTTTGTTAAGAGACAGTTGTAAAATGCAGAACACAGGTCACTCATGGAGAAATCTAAAGGGATCAAAAGAAAAGAAGATATGAGGAAAGGCCAGAGTAAGCTGAATGCTAGATAATGGAGTGGATTATCACCTATTTTATGATTTTTTCATCTCGAGCTCAGGTGATCAAGTCATTTTTTATTTTAATCCGGTAAAATCCAAGGCATACCTTTGTCTTTGCTGCTAGTCGATAAATGTCAGGAACATCAGACTGCTTGTGATGTTTAGGGTATGCAACTTGCCCATACAGATCATACTTGTCAATAAGCTTAAGCACAGAAAGAAGGACAGATGCACTTGTGCTGGACATTTCATCAATTCCATCTCGGTTGCCCATAATTAGAGTCTGTAAAGTGAAGTGCAGAGGGAATAAAAAAGATAGAATGACCTCAACAGAAAGTAAATTCAACTAAGCAGCAATGGAGAACATGTTTGCACCAAACAAGTCTTTTTAGGAAACTTAACATACAAGGTTAGCAAGCTCTCTCAATGGCCGACATTCTCCAAATGCTGTGACCAGAGTTGTGATGTTCTTTTTGGGATCTGGTCTTGCAAGGGCAAGTATCATAGGCTTGTGAGAATTGGTAAAGAAGCGCATGATCTGCAGCATAGCAAGTGTCGAACTAAATTCAAATTTCCAATTACAAGAGCGTAGAAAAGGGTAAAGTTAAACATGCTGTCCATCCATAACCAAAAATTAAAACCTCTATCCATATCGATGGATCAGGAGAAGAGGGATGGTCTTCATTTCCTTCTATTTCGCCATCCATATCACCATCATGGGGAACAATGTGATGAAACTCCATTCCAGGAGGAATTATCTGCAGAGCACAACTAGTTATTAATGCATGTTCCCTTCGCTAGAATTTTTTTTTTGTTATGGGTGCCTCCTGGAACATGACAAGAACAGGAAACATGAACATTTAGCAAAGATTGGGTGCATCCTACCACACGTTCCAGCAGTGATTGCCAACCATGTCCCTTGGAAAAACTTAGAAAACTAAACACTAATCAAAATCTCGTGCTTAGTGCCATGCTGCCTTATGTTTAATGGGCAACACATCAAACTTTCAGTGTCCCAAGTTGACATATACAACCACTAGCATCATTGTTTAAGATCAAAATTAATAAACCCACATATTCAATTGACCTGGAGTGTGAATCTCATTAAAACCACCCTGACCTAGCAGAGATTCATGAGCCAGGCACCAGGGCAGAGCAAGTTGGCTTCTGATACTGTAATTGCTACTGAGAAGCAAGGAACTTTAATGGAAACCCCAATCAGGAAAAAGGATGTACTTACAGCCATGCGAGGCATGAACCTTCCATAACAACTCACGTTACGCCTGATTCTTGCTCGCAGTTTACGCTCAAGTATAGGATCAAAACCATCATACAAGCGCCATTGCTCCTCTATCTCTTGTCTAGTGCTAGTTATGACTATCTCTGAGACATCAAGTGATAACTCCTCTGCCTCTATCCGACGCATTATCTTGTATGTTGAATTGATCTCGTCCCTCGAGAGACGGCCTTGTTTAAGTAGCTGCTCTAATTTATCCCGACCAAGTGAGTGACCAGTAAAAAGCATGGGGACATTTAAAGCACCAGATAGAAGAGCAGCAGAATCGCCTGCATCAGCATAGTGCCCATGGATGGCAACAGGCCAGACAGGCTTCCCCCCACCAATTTGCTCTCCTAGGCTTTTGGACATCCGAATTATGTGGTTGAGTGCACCATCTACAAACTCAGGGATGTGAGGCCACAGAAGTTCCTTCGGTATATATTTATCCTTTGGTCCAAAAGGTATGCGGACAATATAAGCGCCGCTGCTCTCTCCCATCTCATCCAAGAAATCTTCATTTCTTATATTCAACATCTCTGTGGGTTCACCATAACTCCAATCTACATCTGGAGCTGATACTTGTCTAGTTAACAAATCAACTCGATACACTCCTGGCATTGAGGCCAAAGCCCTTGCAAGTTCCACTACATATTTAACCTAATAGAAAAAAAATCAAAGATCATTGGTTATCTATTCCTGCAGCTATGAAGCTATCCTATAACCAATAAATGCGAGTGAGAGCCACATATGGCCAATCCAGACAAAAGCTTTCACAAAAATATTACCTGACCACCAGTATCAGAATCACGGCCAAGCTCCATGTTATCACCTCGTAATAGACCATGAAGGCTGCACAAATACTACTTGTTAAGTATGTTAAATGATCAGCATGCACATTAATCATGCAGTAAATACTAGTGTCGTGATCTGCACAAATGCAATATCCTATCAATTTCTCTTCAGCAGCTAGGGAAATGTAAAACTCCATTCATTATATTGTAATAAACAATTCTACACCAGCTAAATTCCTTAATAGTCCTCTTCACAAGCACATTCAAGAGTTTAGTCCATGCCTTATTAATATAATGTATAGTTTTTTTCCTTTCTGCTGATTAACCCAAGCCTCCATTGCATCAACAGAATTGATTCTAGGCAGTCTGCCCCGGACACTATCACCGTGGGCTGATAGATCTCCAACTGTATCTCCTTTCTCTCCCTCTGATAAGTCTTCAGACATATCAGCCACTGCTTCTCTGCGTCCTCTTTCACGTTCAAGACGACGTTTAGCATTTCTTTGGGCCAGCTCTCCCTCAAGCTACGACACAGAATACTATAGTCAATCATTCAGCTCAAAACAAAATGAACCTCAAGCCAGAATATGGCATGTTCTCCTATGCATTGAGAATTTAAAAAATCCAAAGAAAAAGGAAAAGTAGTGTATTGTTCATTGAAAAACTAGACAGTTGGATGTTAAACTCTATCCATTCGGACAATTACGCCCTCACACTTCTTAAAAAAGAAAAAGAATGGCCAAAATATAATCTATTTCAGGACATTTCAAGTATCAACAAGAGAATTTATTACCAGGAGTTAACACTTTACATATTAAACTATATCTCAAAAAAATCATTTCTTGAAAGCTAACCACATCATATGTGACAACTTTTTTTTTTTTTTGGAACAAGAGCATACAAATTACCATGCGATTGATCATCTTCTCCACATTGTCCTGTGCCAATTGTGTCTTCCGAGTGAAAATACAAAATCTACCCATTAACTAACACTGACTTGTGATCGAACAACCAATTCAAGATTAATCTGATATAAGAAAAATAGTCAACCCCACACGCTCTCATCCCCTCCAAAAATATCCATCCAATCAAGTTCACAACTTTCCAACATAAGAAATTGCACTTAACTCAAGCTTGCAAGCCGGACCCACTACCATTTCCACTGCCAAATATCAAATTGTAATGAAATCAAGTAAACAGCTACAATAATCTATTTCAGCAACTGTCAACTATCTACAAGAAAATTTATTACCAAAGAGTTTACACTTTGCACATTTCTACCATATCTCAATAAAATCATTTCTCGAAAGCTAACCACATAGTAAGTGACAATATTTTGGAACGAGAACATACACGTTACCATATGATCATCGTCTCCAAAAAGGTCTTCTGCCACGTGTTGCTAACGCAGATAGACAAAGCCAAACCAAATTAACTAACAATAACTTGTGATCAAACAAAGAATTCAAGATTAATCCCATTCAAGAACAACAACCAGAGCACCCCCCCCCCCCAACACTCAAATCAACACAAACACATCATCTAAGCTTCCAATAAGCTACACCCACTTACATTTCCAAAAAGAAATATCAAATCTTAAACCAAAATCAAGAAAACAACTAAACGGGCCATTAAATTCATCTAAAAAACACTAAGCAGCAACAGAATAAACCTGTTTCTTTTGCCGAGCCAGGTTCCAAATCCTCCAGCACATATTCTCCAACCTCGTGTTCCTCTCTTGAGGACTCCTCGTCGCCTGAGCCTGTACCGAACATTACACAGAAAACACAACCAGAATCACCCTCATGCATGCAAAAAACACCAACAATACACAAACAAACATAATACAAACATACTCGAACCCAGGAGCGATAAAGATCGGTCTCATCAAATCCAGAAACAACTTCTTCAACAAAATAACGAGTTGGGCTAAACCTGCCTCTTTCTCTGAGCAAAAGAGAAGATTTTTTGTCATCTAGGCCAGGCCCCACATCAAGAATTGCTTCAAGATAGCTGTTTATCCAATCATTTCCTGCCATTTTTATTTACCAGACCACCAGCAGCAGCAGAAGGAAAGCTGGTTGTCTGTGGTTTTATTTGTAGGATTAGAACAGTGTTAACGGTAAGATAGCTTACTTAAAGAGAGACAGAGAGGGGTGGAAACAGAGAGAGTGAACTAGGGAGAGCGGATTTTCTCCTTGTTTGTACTGTACTAGATTTTTCTGCCTCCAAGATATTTTTTTATTTAATGTTTTTAAAAGAAAAAAGAAAGGCAAAAGAAATACTATATATATCAATATCAATGATTAATTGTTTCATACCACATAGGTATCTTTAAATTAGTTTAGATGTTAATTGAAATTGATTTTTTCAAAATAATTTAAAGAGTGTTTTCTCATGAAAACTTAATAATTTCTTCTAAAATTAAATTAAATAAAAATTAACTCATTTCATCAAACTATATTGTTTTTGAAATTTTTATGATGATAATCAAGTTTAATAATTTTATTTTTATATAAAAAAGAAATCAAGCTTAAAATTGTTCATTTAAATTTTATTATTAAAACAATTGATAACCAAGATCTAAATCACAATAATTTTTTTTCTTTTGTCGGATTTACATATCTATGACAGTAACGTTTCTTTCTTTCCACCCATTTATGGAAGGACATGCCATTGGACGAGATTTTCACAGACAAAAAAGGATTCTTACAAGTAAGATAGCAGTAGCATGTGCATGATGTCACCTTGCTCATAGAGTGGAGAATATTTTATTTTTCTGTCAATAAAAAAAAATTGTTTCTTTGTAGGAGAAAATACCTTCTCTTTGATCTATGAAAACAAAAACTGATATTTGACATTGATAAAAAAAAAAAAAAATTATATTCCTTTACAAGAGAGCTATCCATAATCAAGAGAAAAAAGTTGTAATAATGGGTGGCTTTAAATTTTTTATTTTACAAGAAAAAAACAAATAAAAATGCTAACGTTTACAAGATTCAAGTGGTGGAAAATGAAACTTGAAGCTATGGAACGGAAAGGTTGAAGAAATGGGGGTGCGAGCCACGATAAAGCGTGCTGTCATCTCATGCACAAAAGTCCAAAGGAGAGCTTGAGGTGGGGATCCATGGCGGCAGTCATCTACTAATTAGAAATGGAATCATTCTGGTATTATGCTAGGGGTGTTTTACTATTACGTCACTGACCGACTGTTTTAATATTTCATTTCATTTCTGATCACATTTTGACAAGACTTCCGTCTACACATTGATATATTTATTTATGAATAATAATAATAATAAATATGAATAGTAAATTCACTTAGTGTATGAATCAAGCGTGCAAGAACATGAACATGAGTGCATCATCTATCATTAAACCTTAATTTATTACATGAAACGCAGCAGGCACGACCAGTCCTGAACTATTTCATATATGCAATGACATAACTACACAGTCATTCTCAATTCTCAAGTCATTATTAATTAATTACTAAAAGAATATTCATGGCTCAACACCGATCACATCTGTTTAGAAAAGGAGTTTTAGTTTATTTGTTTGTAGACATCGTTTACCATTTTTATGGGAATTTTGAGCTGTTGCCCATTGAAGTATTTGCATATTATCATGGCATTTGAAGGTTGTGATTTGTGAATATTTTAATAGATAATAGTGTTATTCAGAATGGTTTGGTAGAGTAATTGATTCTGCATAATGCATATACTAGCTCACAAATGCGGATACAATTTCTAATGTAGTGGAATAACATATCAATATTATGAATCTGTTTTATTATATTACATTTTTTAATTGAAAATGTGAAAATACTATTTATATTTAATTAATTAAGTTTTAAAAATAAATTAATCACATCGTAAATAATAAGAAAGTTGTTAATTATAACTAAATATTAACTTGTTAAGTTAATGTTTCTTATTAAAAAAAATTAGTTTGCGTATATTTAACACCAAATTTTCTTTTTAATTTATGTTTTTATTTATTTATTTTAGAGATTAACATTGTTGTCCCAGCTAGTTTAAGCCTAAGTGCTTGGCTAACGAACCCGTCACAAGTGCTGGGAATTTTTTTAAAAAAAAACTTAATAAAAAATATATAATATGTCATCTATTTAAAATAACATGTTTATTATCTATTGACTAGATTTAGACACTTCAGATGCCCGAATACCTGTCAAAAAGTTGATTCTTAGTAGTTTTACAAGAAAAAAATTATTTTCAATTAATTATTTACATGAAAATATATTTTAAAAAACACCCCAAAAACTTAATAAACTCATATATAACCTTAAAAATAATAAAATAATTTAAAATCACTTTAACGACATGAAATCACATAACTTTTCAATGTTTAATCTACTTTCCAAGTAAAATAAAATCCAAAAATCATCACAATGGAATTTTTTTAATCGAGTAAAACATTTTAACTCTAAACTTTACCATTTTTTATGTCAAATTATGACAATCAACAACTTTCTCACTCTATTATATTTTACAATGAGTCTTTCCTCTCTCAAATTTAGGGAAGGAAAAAATAAATAAAATAAATTTTTAATCAAAATAAAATATATAGCAAATTTAAGAATAATTATATATTTTTTTTAGTGTTTTATATTATTCAAATTTATTTTTATAAAAATATAATTTTCAGAAAGTTGAGTATTCAAAATACTTTTGAGTCTAACTTTAGTCACACTCAACAATACATAGGCATATCTAGTGCCAGACTCAACATATTTTCAAAGAGACATATTTGATAATGATGCATGTTAGCTCAACATATTTATCAAAAAAATATAAAAAAATTATATCAATGTATTTTTTTTTTAACTAACGTGTGTGTATATATAAAAAAAATCTTGTGGCATCACTTTATATATTTCCGAAAAATAACAAGACAAGAAATGAACTTTCTTAGCATTTAAGATAAGCCTCGTAGGGTAAAGTTAGCTGGTTTTGCTGGCATGTTCATGTCATTAATTTTGTTATTAATCACTGACTTTTTGTCGCTAAACCACATCTTGATTATTAGTTCAATCCACTTAATTATAACTTCTACTTTAAGGTTGTGTGTCACGTACGTTCTGAGGAGGGCCGTGCAGTTATATTTCTTCTATCATTGTTCTAATATCTAATTTAGTGCAAGAAAACTAGGTTATAACTTAAGTTAACTGACCATAGTCAATTTAAGTTTTAATTTTAAAAAATACTCTAAAATGATATTATTTAAATAAAAAAACATGTTTTTTTAACCAAGCCGGCCTAGAGTGACCCCCTTAATTGATCCTAAAAATCAACAAAAACCATTTAGTCATGTCATCGACTAAAATCAATACTGATAAAGAAAAAAAGAAAGAAATTACCATTTCTTACAGAATTGACTATGAGAAAAGATTTCTCAAAAAATAAACTACGATGGTGTTGGTTGGATGAGGAGCTTGTCGTCTACTTATCCTTGAATTTATCTTCAAAGGACGGACTTTATTGTGGAGCTCTCGTTATCAACTACGATGGTGCTAGGATTTCTGTACATCGGCTGCTTCTGATCTCCATACGTTGTTGAGCTAGCTCAAAATAAGATGTCGGGAATGTAAAATTGGTTTTGGTTTTATATATATATATATAATTATTTTTTATATTAATCTAAAAATATAAAAAAATAATTAAAAATAATAATTTCAACCACGTAAAAACTGTAGTCAACAACGAGACAAAAAGGGATTGCTGGCGATGGTTGGATTTGGTGCGGATACGTGGTTCATTATGGTCCCTGAATGTACCAGCCTACCATGTAGCCAGCATTATTGGTGGCTAAATTAACCGAATTATCCATAATATTTATAGAAAATAATTTAAAATTAACTTGATTAAATAATTTCTTGATTTTTCTTAGAAATTTTTTATTATTTTCTTAAAAAAATTAATTCTGTTTCAGAAATCAAAGTTTAAAAAAAATCGAAACGAACCAAATTGCAAAGCATATTGTAAACTAAAAGCTCATTATATCAAAGCTTGTTATGGTCCAACTAAAGGATATATATTTTGATTATTTTCTTTAAAAAAATTAATTCTGTTTCAGAAATCGAAGTTTAAAAAAAAATCGAAATGAAGCAAATTGCAAAGCATATTGTAAACTAATTAAAAGCTCATTATATCAGAGCTTGTTATGGTCCAACTAAAGGATATATAAGTTAAATCAGACTTATTTAATTTTTTAAAATATAAATTTAAATTGATTTGCTTGATCTGGTTACTGGATGAGTTTAATTTTATTGAAATTAAATTGTTAGAATCGATGCTAACTCCTCAAAAAATATTCAGGAAAAACTATAACATATATGATAAATGGATGGTCACTCTCAATACAACGCTAACCTACCTTTTTTCAAATTTTCTATAAAAAAAATGTAAGAAAAAATATTAAATATTTGTCTGATAAGGAGTTTTGG